CGAATATTGGATAGGCGCCTAATATAGGACACCACTAAATCTCCCTGAGAAATGGATGCACTGATTAAATATCATGATAAATATGTTCAAACATATCTGGTAACTATCTATGATAAGGCGCGGTACCAGTTTGTTATTAATTACCATAGTGATAACGTTTTGTTTGTTATCACAAATTTTGAGTTTTTTGAATGCTGTTTGAGTATGCATTTTTCGTCTACAAGGTAAGTCATTTTTAAATTATATTATGGTTTATTTTAACCTGCACTATACTCGTATGTATTTTAGTTTTAACTAACTCAAAACATTCTACAATTTACTTTCTTCAATTATTATGACTACTTTTTATAAAAGTTCAATGTTTACTAATATTGGACACAGGGTGCGTTCGACATGGGCGCTTTGAACGCTTTAAGCGCTTCCACGTCGTTCGTCTTGGCGCTTTGAAATGCTCAGACTACAACCGTGACGTCACGGAAAATAGGTGGTACGTCATGAGTTGACGCTCACGGTCGCTTAACAAATCGAGGTAGTGCAGTGAAAGCGTGAGCGCTATTTCTCAAGACGAACGCTCAAATGTGAAATGATAAGAGATAACAAGATTAATTTGACGATAACCGTAAACCGTTTCACATTCACAACTTTTTATACTTTTACTCAAAATGTCTGAACCAGAAGTAGAAGTGACGTTAATAGATGAAGATTCCGGTGTTGAATATACGTGTATGATGACGGCTGAAGAAATTGATCGTGGAAATAGTGGTAATTAATTATATTAATAATAGTTTTATATCTTATAATATATATCAACCTACTTCTAAAATATCAATATATAAGAAAAGAACATTTTGTGTATATGASAATCAACAAAACAAAATACAGTTTATCCCCCCCCTCCCCCATTAGAAAAAGCTGAGCACGCCCATGCTGCTGTACATTGGTTATCTAGGGAGTCACTGTACTGGATGTGTTAAATTTGAATTCAATGATATAAAATCTATGCATCTTTCTTTAGTTACTTTATAAACTTTATTTCTGTACTTACAGATCAAACATATTTATTGGAAAAAATAGCTTACCTAAAAGCCAACACTATTATAAACAATATGAATGTGTCAAATGATGAATCTACTATGAATCTACAATCTACTACTACTGATGAAAATGAATTAACTGGTGCATTTAAATGGCCAAATGAAGCCATTCTTTTACTGATTGAAGAGTATCGGAAAAGAGCAGATGATTTTTGTTCTGGAAAAGTTTCCCAGAAAAAAACATGGCAAGCAGTATCTGATTCACTATTAACAAAAGGATATGTTGTCACTGGACCYCAGTGTCTTACCAAATTTTCAGGCTTAAAGAGAACCTACAAATCGATCAAAGATCATAATAATAAATCAGGAAATGGTCCTAGAACATGGATGTATTTTAATACTATGGACTCTGTTATTGGAACAAAAMCATATATGAAACCAATTGCTACTGTTTCTTCCACAGGTGTTAAAAATTATGCAACAAATAATGAAACAGTTTCAAATGTTGCTTCTGAAACATTAAGCAGTGAACCGCCGAGAAAAAAATTAAAACAAATACCAACTGTGGATAAAGTTGTTTTAGCTATTCAACAAAATAAAACAATAGATAAGAAAACAGGGAAAGAAGACATAGGGAAAAAATGGAACAAAAGAAAGATGCTCTTGATTTATTATCAAGATTGGTTACGGCTCTAGAGAAGTAATATTGATCTCTAGATTATATTGATTTTCCTATTTATTATGTTGTAAGTTTATTACTTTATACTGATATACAAAAGAGTTATGTTTTTTATTTTATGTTACTTGATACAGTTGTTGTTTTATAAATTATTATTTAACTATTTATGTTGATAAATAAATAGGGTATTGATCTCTATATCGCTTTTCCTAATTATTAAGTTGTAAGTATATTATTTTATACTGATATACAAAGAGTTATGTATTTTATTTTATATTACTTAATACAGTTGTTGTTATATAATATTATCATTTATGTTGATAAATAAATGATAAATTCATGTTGATCTCTATATTGCTTTTCCTAATTATTAAGTTTAATATTACTTATAAGTTATAAGTAAACATYGGTATAATTGATTTAAGACACAAACCAGTAATTAATGTATCTTGTGTATGGTTCTATAACACAAATTATCTTTTAAAATTAAAATAATAATCAAATTCTGCAAGTTTTACCAACAATATAACTCATAGGTTAACCTATGTTTAGCTATGAACAAATATAATGTTACTATTTACTAAACCAATATTTTAAATTACATTTTTTTTACACATAATTAATAGTGATTGTTAATTTTTATACTTTATTATTTAACAATTACATGGTGTATTATATAGCACTTATTATAATTACACTAATCATCCATGTTCAAATTATACAATTCTAATATTTAATTGTTCACAAATTGAGTCACGCTTTAATAAACCTATACGGTTTGATCCACATTCTCTAAATTCAATATTATTTGTTTCTTCTGAAAATATTTGTTGTGGTATCAAGGAATTCGAAAGTTCATCTCCTTGCATCAAACAAATATTATGTAATACACAGCAAGATAATATAAATGTCGGTATTAAGTCGATGCGCTGCATGTCAAGTGTCGTAAGCAGACTTCGAAACCTGCCTTTCAGTAAACCAAATGATCGCTCAATGGCCATCCGAGCTGAAGAGTGACAGAAGTTAAAATTTTTTGTTTCACGGTCAAATGACCATTATCACGATACGGTACAAGAAGGTGTTCATGGTTTGTATATGCAGCATCACCAATTATATGGCCATCATTTGGAAATTTTGATGGATCATCTATATAATTATACACTTCAGAAAGCCGAAATACTCTTTGATCGTGTACAGATCCAACATTTCCAACGAAACAATGYATATAGCGACACTGGTGATCACAAACAGCCTTATGAAAGAAAACAAATCATCATACATAATATATAATCAATGATTTACAATAATAATAAAATATAAGATAAAATACTTGTAATTGAATAGAATGATGGCCTTTCTATTGACATAAGTTTCTGGATGTTTGTGTGGTGCACGGATATTTATATGAGTTCCATCAATTGCTCCTATGACACCAGGAAAAGAACTTGTAGATGAAAACCCATTTTTAACTACTGAAGTTCTATCTGTGTCTGGCCAAACAATAAAATGTGGAGCTAAATTTGCTAAAGAATGGGTGACTCTTCTTACAGCCTTCAATGCAGATGATCGGCTAACATCAAATGTTTCACAAATTGACCTATAAAATAATAAATAGCAAACCATAACTAATATTTGTTGTCTGTTACCTATGTATTAGTCTTTTGAATTTTATAATTATAAACACTAAACCTTGTTTGTATGTTTAGGGGCTGGAAATAAATATATAAAGAGTATCTACCTATAAGAATCTGGAGTGGCCATTTTCCATATCGCAATAAGAAACTGCTTTTTTGGTGGTATAGTCGGATAGCCAGGCTTATGCCTAGTTAATTTAGGAGCAATCATTTGAAGTATAAATTCAAATGTCGATGGAAGCATTCTAAAAATGATATAATATGCATTAATATAACACAGACAATTCCATAWATAAGTTAATACTTGCACAGTAATTTGAGTGTCACGTAAGCACAGTCCCTTAGAATTGTGTTGCACAGTCATACTTATGGGATTATTGTAACTTAAAGTTTCTCTTAAAATTAAATGGTGGATAGACCACCTTTAACGGTCCCGTAAACTATGATTTTATTTTATCATTTCAAAATAAAAATAATAATGTAATAGTGTAATTGTGTGTATAAAATATAATAATATACACAAAAAGTTTCATATTACCCACGAATAACCCCTAACCTAACCACAAGCTACACAAAATGTATATTTTGGATTTGTCAAAAACTCGAAATTTAAGATTTTCAAAACATCGATAAAGTTCTAATTGGTTTTCATAAAATATGCCTACCTATAGTATATAGTATACCTATAGTATACAAATAATGCAATGATATTATAATATTATTGAACTCAAATTTAATACCATCCATTACAGTGGCCCACTTGTAACATACAGTACAGCAGACCGACATCCACTTTGCAGATTTTGCATACTGACCATACATAAAGTGTGACTTGAACTGTCTATCGTCGAACACAGGTATAACAGTTTCGACATAGTTTTGCATACGAGGTACCTCTTTTCCATCAGTCACACACATTGCCAGCTCTAAAATTTGGCTATCATCGTCATTTTCCTCAGACGATGAGGAAAATATGATATCTCCTACTTGTTGTATAGCTAGTACTAGTAAATTGCGTTTATCCATTTTTAAATTAAGTCAGCACTTGGAAAAGTTTTAAACAAATCGTAAATTCAAAAACAAAAATTAATTAATTAAAACTGATAACCGGCGTAGTGATCTGATAACATCGCAACGCTCACGCAACCAATATTCGCGTTCGTCTAGAGGCCTACCTGTGAGCGCATAAGTCTAAACGAACGGTTCAAAGCGTTTACGATAAGCGTAAGCACTGAAAGTGAATAAGCGCCCATGTCGAACGCACCTACAATGATAATCCTAATATTGGATACCCATTATATAATAATTATATTATTATATAATATATTTTATATAATATATTATATACCCATTATATAATAAATACATTTTATGATATTTTAATCAAATTCAGGTTTAAAACGTTTTTTTCTTGTATTTTCAATCAAACTAAAGTAGATCATTAATATTATATAATAAATACATTTTTAAATATTCTAATCTGTCTTCAAAATACCTATATTTAATTGTTATCAATAAAACTAAATATGATTTTTGAAACAATTGTTATTATGATAAGTATTATATTAATTATTAACATTTGAAATTTTAGTTTTAATTTTAATGTAGACAAATATATTTTTTCAGCTGCATTAAGTTACTATTTTATTTAAGATGTCTGTTGTTAAAAGAAAAACCTGGTGTGCAGAATCAATGAAAAAGGCAGTAGAGGCAGTACAAAAGAAAGAAATGGGCTACTTAAAAGCTTCAAAAACATCTAATGTAAGAAATAATATTAAAATTATGTGCTTAGGTATACTATTGATGCACATTAGCTTGTGTAAGGTTATAAAACCACCTAAATTTAATTTTATAGGTTCCCAGAACAATAATAGAAAAGTATGTTAAAAGCAATAATTTTGACGAAATTATAAGTAGCAGACTAGGCAGAAAGTCGGCATTACCTTTAAGAATTGAAAATGAACTTGTTAAATACTGTTTAGTAATGGAAGAAAAATATTTTGGATTAAGAGCAGCAGACATTAAAATCTTAGCATATCARTTGGCTATTCAAAATAACATTAATCATCCATTTTCAAATAACACTTTTATGGCAGGTAAAAAATGGTTGAATAATTTTCTTAAACGTCATCCTGCACTTGCACTTCGCAAACCAGAAGCCACATCACTTGCTAGAATAAAAGGTTTTACAAAAGAAAATGTTGAATCATTTTATACAATATTGGGAAAAGAATTAGAAAAGGTAAATTTTAATCCTTGCAAAGTGTTTAATGTTGATGAAACAGGGATCACTATTGTTCAACATAAGCAAACAAAAATTATTGGTATGAAAGGGAAAAAACAGGTTTCCAAARTAACATCAGCTGAAAGAGGTTCACTTATGACTCTAGTGACATGTATGAGTGCATCTGGAATATATGTACCACCCCTTATAATTTTTCCTAGAAAATATATGAAAGCTGAACTTCTAAATGGAACACCTCCAGGTACAATATCAGCATGTCACCCATCAGGTTGGATCCAAATGGATATTTTTACACGATGGGTTGAACATTTTATTAGCCATGTTAAACCATCTACATCTGAGCCTGTAATTTTGATACTTGATGGACACTATTCACACACTCGAAACTTAGATGTAATTGAGTTGGGAAGGAAACATGGAATCATTATTATATGTTTTCCCCCCCATTCAACTCATAAACTCCAACCGTTGGATGTATCATTCATGGGCCCATTTAAACATTATTATTCATTAGAAATTGAAAATTGGTTAAAAAATAATGAATATAGGTCTGTAACTGCTTATCAAGTTGGAGAACTAATGGGAAGAGCTTACATGAAAGCTTCTACTATTGAAAACGCTGTTAATGGCTTTAGAAAAACTGGAATCATTCCATTTAACCCAAACACATTCCAAGACTATGAATTTGTGGCAGAAACCACTATAAACAACGAAGAAAACATTCCACAACAAGAATCTACATTAGTAGCCTCACCTATTTCACCCGTTTGTACTAATATAGAGATAAGTGAAATTATAGGTCCATTTGCCGCCCACACCGCCTAGCTTAACTATTTC